CCTGAGCGGCGGGTGGAGAGGCGTCTGGAGTTTGTGGCTGGCCCCCGTTGTCTGACTTTCCCCCCTCAGGTATTGTGCAAGTTTGTCCCTGTGAAGCACCACCTGGTTCCACTTATTCAGTCCCACCCAATGCACCACATTGACAGTCTTTTCAGCACAGTATAAGGTCCAATCCACTGGCTCACTGACTGTGGGAACAAGCCCATCTACTGTCCAGGGCTGCATGCCCACACCAGCGCAGGGGCAAAGTGCTCTCTTTTGCAGCAAACATCATGGGCCTGCTTCTGGCAAGGGCCCTGTGCCTGTTGGGGCCCCCACCTGGTCCTGTTGCAGCCACTGGGTTGGCTCCCTCACCTCTGCTTGTGGGGAAAGCAATCTGCAGGGTTTCCACCTATGGGGCAGTCCCAGTCCTCAGTACACCGTTACAGATTAAACTCAATAGTTTCTAGGTTCTAAGTTTGTTATTCACGTCAGTAGTAATGACTCCCAACTTCACCAGTCGGAGGGTACTAAAATTGTGTGTAACTTTGTTAAAATATGTCAGACTCGGTAGTTTTCTCTGGACCCTGCCCAGTCTGACGAGTGATGCCCATTCATGGAAATACTTAAATTATCATGTAATACTTAATTTTGTTAGAAAAAAAAGCTTCACGAGTGAGCGTTGGTGAGACATGTATAAATCAAGTTGCTTCTGAATAGAAGTACTAGAACATACGTTCACCTTGTGTTTTGAGCTTGAGGTCACGTCTAAGATAATAATTCGCCGTTGTAACATTGTAGATGAGTCAGAAAACAAGGAAAAGCGCAGTGGGCTCTTTAATGAGGAAAACAGCCATTATGGCCAGCCTGCCAGTGCCTTCTTTGTTTATTTGATTGTTGTGGGATTTTTCTTACTTAAACAAATCTCCAATCAAGTCACAAGAAAGTGGAGACTCCAAGCAGACACAACTCCAGTGACTTTAGTGTGACTCTGGTACAAGCCTCATATCACAGTGTAATGTGGATTTTATTTTAAATGTTAAGCTGTGACCATGGTTTAGCTGTGTAACATCTTCTGTGCTCTTAAACACTCTGTGGTTGCGTCACACTTCCGCTCATGAGGGTGGAGTCTCGCCATCCACATTCAACACAAGTGTGAACCACAGAGCAGAGCTGCACCTTCCTGTTTCTGGTAAGTCTGCCTTTATGAAGAAAGACTTTGTTCTCTAACAGACTCTTTTAATTCAGTTAAATTTTTACTGTTGATCGTTCTAAATGAATAGCAGGTGATGGTTTCAAAACTTTAATCTTAAAACCTTAAGGTTCTAAGGGTAAATTAACACTTTGGGAATTTATATTAAGCCAAATGAGGAAGATAAGCTTCTTGTTTTCAGGGAGGAAGTTAACTGAATTACATACTTACCAAGACATTTACTTACTTACTTTGTAAAGTGTCCTGAGATGACTTTTGTTGCGATTTGACGCTATACATATAAATTTGAATTGAATTGAAATTGAACATTTTTATCCAAATCAGTTTCAATAAATCATATAAATTTTAATTTAAACACATTTACTTGTCTTCAGTTGAAGATGTTTCTGTATCACTGACTAGAGCAGCTTGTGTCTCCTACATCATATCGTATCATATTAGCTGTACAGATGAGCCACTGACAGGCTCAAAATGTCAGTGGTGTTGGTGTGTAGGCTTTTAAACAGTATATTTTGGTAGATGAAGAAAACACAAAGATAAATTGTCTGAGATTCAGTTACCCACTGTTATGAAGTGAACAATGTCCAATGCAATTTTTAATACTTTGAATTGAAGTTTATCATTAAAAATAGTTTTACTCTGTGTTTTCGGTCATCTCAGGTCACTGCTTCTCTGTAGTTAGTCTGTAAAGTGTTGCCTTTTGCTTTCTGACTCAGGCTGAAATAGTGGTCATGATAAAGCACAAGTGTCTAAATTGTTTCTTTGCTTATCCTGGCGCTGCTTTTTCATTTATGCAATTCTGCTGAGTAGACAACAAAAGCAGGGCAGAAATATTAGCTATACCTTACTATAAATCAAAATCCACCACAGCCAACAGTCATGCACTACCCAATTAGGAGAGAAAAAATTATCAGCCAAATATATTTAGGCAGCAGAAGGTCTCATCTGAGGATTTTATATGATTGTCTTTGTAATTATAGTTGTAAGAACTCACATGCAATGCAGATCAAATACATTTCTGTGAATCTGCACTCCACAATTAAATTTGAAAATAGAATGACCATGTATGTTGTTTGCTGGTGTGTATGCAGTGATTGGGAACTCCCATGCCAAGGTCTCACAATGTCTTGAACCCCTCCCATGATGCCGCTAAGCTTCATGCATCTCCTCTGACATGTTTGTGATGGTCACCATTCTTTTTGTGTGTTCTTATTTTATAGAGGCTGGCAAACAGCTGTCAAAGTATGAGGCGACTCATTACTCCAATCCTCTGCTATGGAGTGTGTCTTTAGTAGCTTTACTTTTCCTTCAGAACCTTTGTTTGTGTTTTTAGCCATACTAGAACACTTTCAAAGTTTAGGCTGCAGTGACCAAAATGGATGTTAGGGTGGGTTGGTATGTTAGCTATATAATGTTTAGAAGTGGGCTCAGACCTAGAATTTTAGGAGAAGGAACACACCTTTCTTACTTTTTGTCTTTGCTTTCATTAATGCTGTTTTTTTTTGCTTGCTGTATGTTTTTTTCTCTTTCTGTGGCTTTTAACTGTACACAGGGCATTGCTGTAAATGAACATATATGCTCAGTCAACCTACCCTGTATAAATAAATAAGTAATTATAATAGCCTTTTTTGTACATTTAAATGTTACATAATTTGGTTTTAATGTGTCTTTTAATTGAGTTTAGCACTTATAGCTGAATTTCATATATAAATGGTGTTGTACACATAGCATGCAGTATATTCTTAATAATGTGTTTTGTGAAATGTCCATGTATGGTAAAAATACATACAAATAGATACAGTCTGCTTTCTCATTATCTCTTTTTCAGCCTGAGTCAGAAAGTGGAACTGTACTAATGACCAAACCTCACTGTTCCCTGATACCTTTTATGGTGCTGAACTAGCATGCAACGCAAGCATTTGTGTACAGGAAACCACTGTATTCGTTTCTACACTTTTTAGCCTGAGCGTGGACAGTGGGTGTTTCACACCATCATTTTCATATGTACTTCTTCAGTGGCTTGATGCTCTGAGGACCATTTTAACATCAAATGTTTTCTAGTTACAGCAGCAAGTCACTAACCAACTTAAAAGTAAATGTTTTAGTTTTATAATTAACTGATTGTACATGGATGAGTATTGTCCAAATTTTCAGTGTCCACCAATTTCTACAAGTTTACAACTGGTTTTATTTCAGCTGGTTAGCATTTTAGCATGTCTGCATGAACAAACCTGAAAGTGACCACAGTTTGTGACCTTCTTGTCTGTGTTGGTTACACCTATTACAACATTTGTTCATTTGTCTATATCGTCTATATAAATTGCACTACTGGACCTTTAGATGAGTTATGCCTTTCACGTTTATTAATGAGTTTCCCATTTAGAAACATGTTTTGGACATGTTGTCCACAACAAAATATTCACTAGCTCTGACTGTGTCAATCAATTTGTAACATTATTATGTTTGTTAGGGTAAACCTTAAAGCAGAGTAGTGGTGTTGGATTAAATTAGATTTTCCAAGTGTTTCCTAATGAAGTGGCCACTGAGTGCATATTATTACATTTTTCATCACAACAATTTCCACAAGATTTTTTTGTGTACAGCATTTTAATCACAATAGGCATGTACATACTGTATCTTATCAGTTTTAATTACATTTATTATGATGTTTGCATTCATTAATTAAATTCAATTCAGTTTTATTTGAATAGCGCCACTTCACGCCAACTATCATCTCAGGGCACTTTATACAGTAAGGTCTGGACCTAAACCCATCAAATCCCCCTTGGGCAAGCACTTGGCAACATTGTGTAATTGTTGGGTAAAGAACTCAAGATGTAAATTACTGGAAATAATCAGGAATAACCAGGATATTTAGTAACAGTTGCAAGTAATACTGACAGCAAGGTTGAGAAAAAATACAGTGTTGCTGGCAAATGGCTAGAAGACAGAGGGTGACTCTCAGTCTTTCAGTGACATAGGTAACAGACAAACAATGACATGGAAGCGATGATCTCAAATTCTCAGAGCAGTAACAGTCCATTGAAGACAGAGCTTGACTAGGCTATAAAGCTTGAGAATCGTATATATGTTACAACAAGCAGAGTTTAGGCAAAGGCAAGTCCAACAAGGGAGTCAAAGTTTAGCACACACATACACACACATAGGAGTCCGTTCATTTAGTTTGAATTTTAGATGTCCTAATAATTTAACTGACTTCAACCACTCAAGTGTCTTTACCGTATCTAGAGATGAAATTATATTGGTTAGCACAATTTCTACCATGTTCCAGCACCAACAGCAAGGCCAGTTAACCTACCAAGCAGGTAAAGATTCTGCATACATTTAATTTGTATTTATAATTAATCTTGTCAACAGAGCTCAAACTTTCATTTGGATACAACAAATACAACAGGTTGCATGTTTGTCATCTCCTGTTTGGAAGTGTTAATATTGCTAATTTCTAGCACCGCTGTTATTGCATCATTCATTTAGATCTTCAACATGTTCTTAAAAGCAAACGTGAGTGACGCAACTGTCTTCTCCAGAAAAAACGACACAAGCGGTCACCAGGGTGGGGGTGGGAAGGGCTGAGGTTAAACCCTTGTCTGTTAGGAGAAGGGGAAGTCAAGTGACATTACAGAGGCACAAAGTCTAGACATGGAAGAAGTAGGATGGATGATGCACCAAAACATCACATTTTAACATGGGATGCTGCTATTTGTTTCTCTTCTAAACTCACACTCAGCATTTTTGTTTTTAGCAACCATTTTCCCTTAATTTTCACCAAGTGATTATTTTTAGAACTATGATGACAAACATCCCTGAAGGAAGTAGTCGACAATCCTCATTTAAGGGGTCGACACAACCACTGGCAGAGAAAATGAGACGTTATGCCGTGTTGTACAGGTTAACACTTAACGAGACCTGGCTCAAAGTTCAGTTCACAGAGCTAGTTCACACTCATAGTTCACAGTTTTAATTTTGAACTAAGGTATTTTGTATGTGTTCAGCGTAAATAAAGACTGACATAGATTTTAAGAGATCCTTGTTTCATAGTGAGTCAGTGTTTGTCTTGTTGAAATCTCACCATTCTAATTTTATGAAATGTTGCTAGAACAGACAAAAGTCTCACATATACTGTATGGTATTTTATATAAATATATATATATATTTTTTATTTCATCACCAGGAAATGGATCGGTGTTTGCTATTTCTTCTGCTCCTGCTGATGGGTAGAAATGGTAAGCTTTGAAAAGTTAACATTACACTGTTCACTTGAAAATTTTTGAAGCACAATATATATATTTTTTATTTTAACACCAGGAAATGGATCGGTGTTTGCTATTTCTTCTGCTCCTGCTGATGGGTAGAAATGGTAAGCTTTGAAAAGTTAACATTACACTGTTCACTTGAAAATTTTTGAAGCACAACTACTGAATATTTATTAATATGCAGATAATATAAAGAGAAAACATGTTAAAAGCGTTTATAATGGTTTAAAACATCCGCATTAGAGGTTTGAGCCTTCCTATAAACACCATTGTTTCCCTCACTTGCATCTTTTTCTTGGGTCTTGGCTCCACCCATGTAACACGCAAGGATAGAATGCAAGAGAAAATATGAGGACGGAGGAATTTAGGGAACGCATTATTAGAAACATGAGATATCTTTCTGCTGATGTTTCATCTGAAGCAGCCAATCACCAACTGATTTCAGATAAAGAGGCATGCTGGTCCATAAGGCGTCCACAAGGGATGCTCTCATGTATTCTTGTTCATCCTTGCTCATATCTTTCCCAGCAGCCTCTCTGCTCCTCAGAGTATATGTAAGAGTCTTGGTCTGTCCTCAATCGACCCGGAAGTCATTCCAGTCCAGCGAGGAATGAAGACCAAGGAATGACATACTGTATAAAGGACATGAGATGCAGCCAGGGTCTTCATCACACCAGTGTGCCAGTTAATATCCATCGGTTATTTCTGCTCTGATCTGGGAGGTATTTCAGTTATTGTGGTGATCCAGCTTCGTGGTATTGGAAAACCTGCACTGAGCCCAAACCCGGTAAATGGTAAATGGACTGTATTTATATAGCGCTTTTATGCACTGGGCAAAGCGCTTTACAGGGAGATTATACACCATTCACCCATTCACACACCAATGACGACAAGGCTGCCACACAACAGCGCTAGTCAAGCCACCGGGAGCAATTTGGGGTCCAGTGTCTTGCTCAGGGACACTTAGGCATGTGGGGAGACCGGGAGTCGAACCACCAACTTGCTGGTTAGGAGACGACTTGCCCCTACCTCGTGAGCCACAGCCACCCCTAAGCTAGCTAGATAAGCCATGAATCTCGCTTTGTGGTACAGGTCCCTGGGAGGTATCTCTAGAAGAAGGTTTAAGAAACTCTTAGGTTAACTCTGACCCTAACCCTGATATGGAAAACTCCAATTCTTTGGTTCCAGAACAGTTGGTGTTGTTCTCCCCAGTTGTTAAACTCTAATTATGTTCAATCTGAGTTAAGCTCGTGCACGATAACTCTAAAAAACAATCATCAATGGAGCTCTAATATGATTCACTATATATCAGTATATATAAAAAGGTATATAAAAGTAAAGGATGAAAAAGAAGTATGAAGGAAAAGTAAGAAGGGGTTGAGGGCAGAGGAAAGATAAAAGATACAAAGGATGAAGGAAGAATGGGAGGAATAAAAAAAATAAGGATGAAAGGAAGGAAGGAAGGAAGGAAGGAAGGAAAGGCGGAAAGAAAGGAGGTAGGACATGGCCCACTGTAGGCTCCTGGACCTTCTACCATTCAAACCAATGGAGAAGCTGAAAGTTGACCAAAATCACCTAAAATGTCAACAGCCAGAAGCCAAAAAGTATAAAAGACATCAAAAAACTGACCTCATGTTAGTAAGCACAGAGAGAGCGGCATCGTAAACCGTCTCATCCTTAAACAACAACCCGCACTACGTGAGAAAAACTTCACAAAATGGACTACTGAAAAATTCTCATATTGGGACACACTATGGGAGACACTAATACCATACTGTATGTGTGAAGACATTCCGTAAAATAAAGGATTTATCATGAGTTACAAACAGCTCATCTGAGAGTTAGATGAGACTTTCTGGACACCTCTCACAATGGGACTGAATGAGAGATTTAGATGTGCTCTCTGTCATTTTGGTCACCTCAGTTGAAAATCACAAGGCCAACTAGCTTGCATACTGCAGTTCCCTTTAATTTTACCAAGCTTTTGGGCTTTTCAGCAAGGCTGTCAAAAATAATTAGTTAATGCTAAGTAGAAACACTCAACAGAAATGAAATAAGCACTGCACGAGCTCTCATCGCCACTGAGCCCAGAAGGATCCCAGTCCATTTTTATTGCTTAAGGCATAATTTTCTAATTTTGTGTTGGAAGATATTTTTTTACTTTCGGATACTGACAAGTTCCACCTGTTCTCTGAACAATCCAAGCAGTTTACTGCACAACAACTCTTTGTTTTATTGCTGAAAAAACATACCCAGGAGGATAAAGACCTCTTGCTCACCCCCAGTTGGACAGAACCGATGAAACCTCTTGGATGAAACGTCTTCTACCTAAAACCAGTGTCTACATAGAGCCTCGCTCATTCCCATCACCCCTGTGATGTTGATGATGTTGCCCGGATTATAAAAATGATTCATTTGAATGATTGGATCTACAGCATTTTATGCCATTTTTAAATTTGTGCTGAGTGAGTTTCTTTATGAAACTGTCTTGCATACAGACTATGTTTTTCATTGCAGGATTGTGTCAGAATGATGAAGTTTGCACAAAGTCTGTGATCAACTCCTGTGATGACTGTATCAGATCTGGGCCATATTGTGTGTGGTGTGAACAACTGGTGAGAAGGAAACTGTATGCTGTCCATTTCAGTAGCTAACACTTTGCTTTATATGAATCGAACACAGCTTCAGTGACAACATCTAATACACACTCAAAGAATACTCATGGAATATATATCACAAATATATACAAATATGTTTGCATAATAAGTTCAGTGATATGGTTACACCTACCCAGTTGCCCCCACCCCCATATTTAACTGAAGGTTTGCCCTTGCATAGGAACATTTTAGGAGACAAGGTGACTGAACAAGTCTGCTATAAAATAGTAATTTGGTGGTTTAAAAAAGACATAGTGGCACACAGCTGTTAAACCTCCGTTCATCCCCTCTCTGTAGTTGACTATAGTTTCAATGAAGCCAACTTGACAATATTTTGGCTCTATAGACAGTTTTATGTCCACCACATGGTTTGTCAGGGTCCATATAGATGCAGGGTTATGACAACAGCTGTGTGATGTTGGCTTTGAACTGAGTGTTCACAAAGAAGTTAGCTTCTTAATTGTAGCATACTTACAGTATCACGGTGTTTATTATTTCTGTAACCTATGGTGCTGTGTAAGCCATGATTAATAGATCTTTGACTAGATACTGTATGTGAAACCCAGTGTAACAGATTATAATTATTTATCTGGCACAGTACCCAGTGGCAGTTCTACATTGAGTTACTCCCCGGGCGAGACCCCCCTTATTTTTGAATGGCATGTGATCTACCAACACTACCTTTGCGATTGATGTATTGGGCACCCCTGTCATAGACAGTTAAGAAGCCTACTATGTTGTTTGTACATCCACAAACACTGTACCAGGCTTTGAGACACCTGGTGGCTGAAAGGAGGTTGGATTTTATGAGCCTTGTGCAGGATTAAAAATTTCAATTTACTGACGCAATGCTACTGTCAGGGCACCGCAGAAATAACGTGGTGAAATAGTGTGGCACTTTGAATGCTCAACCACTGTTGCTCCCTCTCTCTCTCAGTGGTGTAGATTTTTAACACAGGCAATGAGATTTGGACACAAAGATTTAAAATGACTGTGATTCCTTCATTCCTGCCAACAAGCCATTGAATAGAATCACTAGAAAATTAACAGGCTTGTGTTGCAGGTCAACCAAGTCACCAGTGTTAGCCCACTATGTGGGAAGGGGTTTTTGCCTACAGGGCTCTGTGGCAGTCATGTGACTAAATACTATAAATAGCTTTATATACATATTTGAGCTGCTTTTATGTGTTATTTTGAGCGACTATGTGTAGCCAAATTATTGTGTGTGGATCATTATTTGATTCCTGGCTGAATCCCTGACAGTGTCAATACTTTTACAAGGCATCCGTCTCTGCAGCTAAAATAATATGAAGAGATTCTATGATGATCATCGTTTTATTAGAAAAATACAGTACAGTTGTTGTCTTTTTATTGTTGTTATGCTGTTTTGTCTTGTTTTTACATCACCTTCATACAGAATTTCACCAAAGCGGGTGAGCAGGAGGCAGCACGCTGTGACACCCAAGCTCAGCTGATAAAGAGAGGCTGCAGGAGGGAAGAAATCATCTCTCCTCAGAACAAACAAAAAATTGACAAAAATGATCCTCTGTCCAGTTCATTCAAAACGCAGGAGCCTGTCCAGCTGAGTCCACAGAAAATCAGCTTGAATCTGCGACCTGGTTAGTGATATTTAAAGGAATGCACTATTTGGCTTCTGGAGCAAAGTAAAACCAGAACACCTACTGTACCTGTGTGCTCCATGGTCATTATTTGGGTAGAACTGGGCCAGGGAAAAACTGATAAATTCTATATTTACTAGGGTTTCATGTTTCTAAATCTGTCATTACATTTAAATTGAGAATGTATTAACTTACTATCACTGAAGTCTAAAAATGTTATTGTAAGAGCAGGGTAGGATTTCTGGTTTTTGTTTTCCTTTTTTCACAAGTTTGTTTCTCTTCTGTTTTTACAGGGCTTCCTACCACTTTCACTGTTTCTTTTAAAAGAATTGAGGGTTATCCAGTTGATCTCTACTACCTGATGGACCTGTCTTACTCCATGAAAGATGACTTGGAAAAAGTCAAAGGACTAGGGCAAGCTCTTTTTGCAGCCCTAAAAAGTATCACTGAACACGGTCAAATAGGTAACAAGATTGCAATATTAATCTGATAGCGTAAATCATTTAAAATACTAACCTTTCTTTTTTGGTTACACTTTAGGATAGCCACAGTATACACTACAAATGATCCTTTACATGTATATCATGTATCAGATATATACAATATGCACTACTTACCAATACCAGGACACATAAGCTGCGTTTCCACTATCAGAACCTAACGAGTGGTACACCCCGTACTTACCTAAACCATCACCAAGTGTAGCCTCCGGGGTTGATGCCAACCTTCCTGCTTTATTATTCGACTATTTATTCTCTCTGTTGGCCTCTGTTTAGAGGAGGGAGGGGCTGCTCACCTCTCACACAAGCAATCAGCTGATTACACACAATGCTTGTAATGCTAATGCTTGAGGTGTGAAAACACACTGGCAACTGCTCTGCATGCACACACCCCGTCCCCATACGTGGAAGCTCTGGAAGTCTGCTTGGGGTCATTGTCCATTTGGACAAGACCCATTTGTGACCAGGCTTCAACTTCCTGGCTGATGTCTTGAGATGTTGATTCAATATATCCACATCATCTTCCTTCCTCATGATGCCATCTGTTTTGTGAAGTGCCCCGGTCCCTCTTGCAGCAAAGCCCCCCCACAACATGATGCTGCCACCTCCGTGCTTCACAGTTGGGATGGTGGTCTTCAGTTTGCAAGTCTCTCCTCCAGGCATAACAATAGTCATTATGGCTAAACAGTTCAATTTTTGTTTCATTAGACCAGAGAAGATTTCTCCCAAACGGCAGATCTTTGTCCCCATGTGCAGCTACAAACCATAGTCGGCCTTTTTTATGGCGTCTTGGAGCCAAGGCTTCTTCCTTGCTGAGCAGCCTTTCAGATTATGTCAACATCGGACTGGTTTTACTGTGGCTGTGCATACTCTGGTACCTATTTCTTCCGGTGTCTTCACATGGTCCTTTGCTGTTGTTCTGGGATTGATTTATACTTTTCAGACCAAAGTATCCATTCACAGCTGTACCTCCTATTGACTCAAATGATGTCAACTAGTCAGTGAGAAACTTCTAAAGCCATGACACCATTTTCTGGAATTTTCCAAGCTGTCTAAAGGCCCAGTGAGCTGAGTGGATGTAAATGTCTGACCCCCTGGAACTGTGATATAGTGAACTATAAGTTAAATAATCTGTAATCAACTGTTTGAAAAAATGACTTGTGACATGCATAACGTACGTATCCTAACCAACTCACCAAAACGAGAGCTTATTAGCATGACATCTGGAGAGTGGTTAAAAAAATCAGTTTTATTGACTTGAGCACAAGTGTATGTAAATGTCCGACTTACAATATTGCAGAAAGGCACAGGGATACACTGCTAACACTAATCTGGTGCACACACACACACACACACACAAATGGAAACAAAATTTACAGGCTGTATTACTTTTTATTTTAGATTATTTTGTGTACATTGTAGTGGTCTAAAATGTTTGTTATAGTGCAGACTCACTTTAGAAAACAAAAATGAGGAACTAATAGCCATTTCTATACCTTCAGGGTTTGGCGCCTTTGTTGATAAGACAGTCCTTTAACACCAACAAGAAGAAACTGCTAAAGCCATGTGATGAGAATGACCAACAGTGTGAGGCTGCCTTTGGCTACAGACATGTGCTCAATATGACATCACAGGAGCAGGAGTTCAACAAGAAAGTGAAAGAGCAGTTCATTTCAGGGAACTTGGACCCTCCTGAAGGAAGTCTCGATGCCATGATGCAGGCTGCTGTATGTGCGGTAAGGACTCAGCAATGACTGTGTACTGTTAGTAACAGTACATGGGTTTACTACTAGAAAAGAATGAAACTAGAAAACTGTATGGGACCCTTCAAGCTAATAATAGGTCACAATAGGTAATATCTAACCCTAACCCATCTTGGAGTAAGTGGACTACCTGCACAACCTGACTGGGCTGCCCCATACTACCAGTAGTGACAAGGACACTAGCACAAAACAAAACTTAAGGAATAGTCAAGAAGGATCAGGAGAAATCATTTGTCTGTGGCCACCACAAGGAAAACCATTCCCTTTTTGGGGGGTTCCTCTTGCTTTTGCCTCTCCATTGTCACTTTCATTTGAACCAAAGCAGGTAAAACTGATTCACAATCACTTGTGCTTCCTAAATGGACAGTTTGTGAAGTTTGGCTTGATGTTATACTGTGATGGTCAAGTGTTCCCTTTGTTAGGTAATTTCTTAGTTAGATAGATATTGATTAGATACTTGTTGTATTAGAAAATGTTTAGTGTAGCCAGGATGTCTAGCTCAGGCTGTTAAATGCTTTGTCATCCTGATGAGCTCTGCAGGCTGCATCTAGGCCAAGGTCAACTAAATAGAGAGAGTCTGCAGGCAGGATGAATATTGCTATCATTATATGTTCAGCCGTAATCTTTATCATAACATTTTCCGAGGCTTACTGTTCGGACATGTCCCTGAATGTCCTGTATGTTTTTAGATACACACCACGAAATCAACAGTCACACACATTGATTTTCTTCATGTTTTGACTATTGTTATGGTCAGCTGTGAAGCTGGCATATCAGGTGACGTCACGGTTTGACGTTGCCTGTGTAGTATGGGGTTAGACCAAACCAGATAAATTGTATAGAAATCTTGGGTCCGGGGTCTTTTTTCGCTCTCCGTCTGCCTGCGTGCAGGTCGGAGGGGGAAGATACCTGGACGTGTAATGTTCATTTTGCCTGTGACCCTTTGAATAAACCAGCACGGTTATTTTTTATATATATATCCAAGTGGTCCGCTTCGTCTCACTGAGTTCCTGGTTAAAAGAACTGGGTAATATCTTACACCTTTCTATAGGCTCTATTTTGTTATTTAGCCTCTTCCGGCTCTTTTAAACCAGGAACTCACAAAGACGAAGTAGACCACTTGGATTATATAAAAAATAACCGTGCTGGTTTATTCAGAGGATCACAGGTAAAATTAACATTACATGTCCAGATCTCTTCCACCTCCGATCCTGCACGCAGGCAGCATGGAGATGAAAGACCCTGAACCAAAGAACCTATACAATTTTAATCACTTGGTTGGGCTACCCCCATACTACACAGGAACGTCAAACCCTGGCGTCACCTGATATGCCAGCTTTGCAGCTGACCATAACAATAGTCAAAACATGAAGAAAGACAAGGTGTGTGGCTGTTGATTAGTGGTGTGTATCTAAGAACATTTTGACATGACATTTCACATAAGAAAAATATTATGATTACCATTACAGTTAATAATAACAATCACCTCCTGCCTGCAGCCTTTGTCTTATTTAATTAACCTTGACCTAGATGCAGTTTGCAGAGCTCATGACACTGACTAAACATTTAACAGCCTGAGCTAGACATCCTGGCTACACTAAACATTGATAGACAACAAATCTCTAGCAAATATCTATCTGACTAAGAAATAACCTAACATTTCATTTTTTGAGCAGTTTATTTATAGGACCCCTGCAGTTCACCACAGCAATCTTTCACGATCTTTGTGTGTTGGCTGAAAAAAATGTGGTGTTCTTATACAACCAAAATGTTGCACACTGCGCCACACAGCACATTATTCCATCGCTTCTGAAAGAGCACTGAAGGGAGTACAGTTTTTTTTTTTGGCTGTTGAATTCAGATATCTTTATCTAATGTTTAATGTTAATATATCTAATGTCCCTCTCCAGTGTCACTGACGCCTCCTTCAACATATATTGAAAAAACTTAGAAAAAATCAACTGGACTAGATTTCTAGGTCGAAGACGTTTCACCTCTCATCCAAGAGGCTTCATCGGTTCTGACTGACTGGTGTTGAGCGGGAGATATTTACCCCCCTCGGTGGTGTTTCAGTCCTCAAAAATCTCTCGGACAGAGAACTCACGGACACAGAAAAAGAGATATTAGCCAAGGGATTGAATTTTGCGGTCACACCCAAACAAATACCTGTGGTAGACTTCATTACAGCCATAGAGTTAGCCATTAGGAACAACAAGCTGGCCGAGACAGAGGCGGAAGAACTGCGGATGAAGGTCACAGCTGTTTTGGCCAGTGCCAAACTCCCACCCCCAAACCTTACCCCCGAGGAAAGGAGGGCTTTAGCTACACTAGAGAAGGATGAAACCATCACAATCCTTCCAGCAGACAAAGGTAGGTGTACAGTAGTCCTAAACTCAGCTGACTATCAGACCAGAGTTTCTGATCTCCTCAGTGACACCACCACCTATGAAGCACTGAAGAGGGACCCCACCAGTGGCTACAAGAAGAAGGTTAAATACACAAGGAAGAAGCCCCACTCAGACCCATTGTCAGCAGCATCAACTCTGTGACTTACAACATAGCCAAGCACGTGGCCACCATCCTGGCTCCTTTGGTTTAGGGGGGGCACTTCTATAAGCAGCAACACGGCTGTGCTATGGGCTCCCCAGTGTCTCCTATAGTTGCCAACCTGTACATGGAAGAAATTGAGGAGAAAGCCCTGGCTTCCTTCACTGGTACTGCTCCCAGCCACTGGTTCCGCTACGTGGATGACACATGGGTTAAAATCAGGACCCAGGAGGTAGAGGCTTTCACCAAGCTGTTAGGTAATTTCTTAGTCAGATAGATATTTGTTAGACATCTGTTGTATTAGCAAATGTTTAGTGGAGACAGGCTGTCTATGCTCAGGCTGGTAAATGCTTAGTTCATAGTCATGAGTGCTGCAGGCTGCATCTAGGCCAAGGTCAACTAGATTGCAGAGTCTGCAGACAGGATGAATATTGCTGGTAGCATGCTATGCTCAGCCGTAATCTTAGTTATAATATCTTCCGAGGCTTACTGTTCGGAC